TAAAATGTAATAAAGTTAATAATGTATAACTAAAAAAAGTAAGTAGGCGAAAGTTGAGTAAATAAAAAGTTAAGTAAGTGTGACTGAGTGTATTCTTTTGTTTGTTCATTTACTGTTACTCAAGTACACATAGAGGGCTATAATAGTATCTTTATCTTTTGATTGTAAGATATGTTTAAATTGTTTTTCTTTATCCAAATTCAAGAAATTTGCATTTACACTGTTGATAGTGTTTATATGAATTAATATAATGTCTGACATTTTCTATATGGTGTGTGGTTTTAAGTTATTGGATATTTTCTCTTAAGCAGACAAACACTTTTTTAAAGTAGTTGCAGTATCTATAGACATGTCTGGACCAACCATGCTCAAGATTTACACATGCAATGTGTCATGATGGTTGATTTTAGTACCGTATCCATTTTAATGCTAAACATGCACAAAAATCAAGCATCATATCATCTATCCATCAGAAAACATGTACTATATTTGCTCTATAAGAAGCTCATATGCTTGTGTGAATGATAGATGTGTGCCTGTGGTACAAAGTCATATTTAGCTCCGCAGTTGACTTTGACGTCCGTGTCAACTTTTTACTTTTTTGACTTCTTCTTGAAAACTACAATTCTTATTGCTTTGATACTTGGTGTATACGGTATGTACCTTGGGCAGACTTCTCTTAGATTTGTTCATTTCGTGGTGGTATCTTCAATTCTCTAATTTTGATATATATTTTTGGTAAAAAGTGATATTTTCGACTTCTTGTTGAAAACCGCAAGTCCGATTGCTTTGATACTATACATTTGGATACCTCAGATAGACCTCTCTCAGATTTGTTCCTTTTCTAATAATATCTTTTCTCCTTTAATTGAAATGTGCATTGCTAACAGCAGAGCTATTTCAGCTGAGAGGCTGTTTGTTTATAATTCTGTAATAAATCCAATTTTTACTGTACTGAAGATAAGCTTTTAATAGAGCAGTCAGTGTGTTTACTTGCATGTATATTCTTTTCTAATTGTTAGGCATTAATAACTGAGTTGAATAGAGTTTATGTCCTGATATTGACTTGTTTAATATGACCCTGAATATAAGTGATTAGGTAGGAAGTATCAATATTGATTTGGTTGAGTGGCCAGATGTGGGCTTGTCAATAAATTAATTAACTACTTAGATGTCATTCATTTATTTGGATGGGTTGGAATGTTGAAGTGCACCCAGCATATAATTTACATGGTCAGAAAAATGGAAAGATTTTAGATTCTGTAATATCATGTACAATATGTAATAAATTGACTTTATCTACCTGTACAACTGGCTCTTTGTCTCTAAGGTTTCATGAACTACTGACTGTATCAGTAGTAATGAAATACTGGAAATAGGCTTTTTTCTCAAATACATGATGTACATGTAACTTGATTATTGTACTAGTTAACTGCATGTAATACTTTGGGTTAGTTTCATTTCTATCTTAAATTGCTTGTAATAATGGAGTGCATTGCTTGTGTATCTGGATCTCATGGATGACATGCATATCAATTGAGAAAATTTTTAAATAATCAAAAATGAATTTTTGTTCACAATCTTCAAATTGCATAATGTTGCATTTGATCTGTGGCAATTCTGCTTGTTTTTGTGATATTTGCTTCAATTTGCAATTCTTCTTGAAAACTAACAGCTCAATTGCTTTGATACTTGGTATGTAGGTACCTTGATTAGACCTTTGCTAATATTTGTCATTTTCGGTAAAAATGCTATTTTTGACTTTTTCATGAAAAACTACCTGCAAATTTTCTTTGATATGTTATATTTAAGTATGTTGGGTGGATCTCTATCAGATTTGTACATTTCGTGCGGATATCATTTATTCTCTATTTTTGGCAAATATTTTTGTAATTTTTGATAAAAAATTATATTTTCGTATTATTCTTATACACTGCCAATTATATTACGATTAGTTTGATGAAGTTAAGTTTACATCTTAACAGTCAAACCCAAACTATTTTTTTGTTGGTGTGCAGAGCTAAGCTAGGGACTGAACAATAATACAAAGAAATATACACAGGAGCTTGCCAACATGAACATATTTTTACCACAATCCATAGTTATCTGACCATATATAAACCTGGAAGCATGTTTTGCTTACAAAAGGTACTGATAATTTTTCCACTTTTTCAGGGTCGAAGTGGTGGCTTTTCGAGAATAATTGAAACTTGTATATTGAAATGTAACAATTTCTCTATGATGTCAATAAAGAACTATTCTGTTGTATGCTGAATAAAATTTTCAACAATTTGTATGTTTTTTTTAGTTCTAAAAATTACTTTCTATAAATAGATAAGAATTTGGTTGATACGCTCCCAATATTCTGTAGACAGTTACTAGACTGCTGTTGTCACATAGGATCAATATAGTACCATCTAATTTTAGATACTGCTGTTTTCGTTTCAAAGCTACTGTACTGCAGTTGAATGTCTGTATTTATTTCAAGCCCTTTACAACAAGCTTTTAATGACAGACAATTTTCAAGGTTGTTGCCAATTGTAATTAATCAATGTATGTTAGGGATATACTCCAGAGATTGTTCTCAGTAGATGTGGGAATTCCTCTGTAAGTGAAATATTGAATTACAGTAATACTGTCTATGTATACCAACTCAAATTATAATGTGTATTGTATCATCATTTTTGATGATACAGATCCAAATTTATGAACAAGTTTTTTTCCTCTTTAGTTATTATTTATCATATTTCCTTATTATCACATCTTCAGTATCAGTGTACATAAGCTAAAAAAAATGCATTCATTTTATGCTAGGTCATTAAATTTGACTAATTATGATCATAGACACATACACCTCTGTCATTCACATGAGTGCATGCACTACTAATACAGAAAATATTGTGTTTTCAAAAGATGATAACAAGGAAATAAAATAAATTATAGGTATATTTCATCTATTTTATAATCTGTAAATTGTTTCTGTTGAATTTGTTTTGGATTACAAAGACTAGCATTGGATGATGGTTAAGTTTGCAAATTTTACAGGATAGTTATATTTTAAACCAAATAAATAAAGATAATGCATTTCTGATAGCCCAACCGTTCCTAGATTTTTCAGGCCGACCCTGTATCATTTTATGCCCAAACATGAAAATGAGCACTCGTAGGTACACCTTTCCAGCTCTACTTGTAATTCTTCATTTTTTAACCAGA